CACATCATCTCATCTCATCTCATCCCATATTAGCTGTCTCGGTGTATAACCCATACATCCATCCATCACATAAGACAACAATAAACAAGGGACGAAAGTCTGAAAATACATATACACACAACAAGTCGAGTCCCAGTTTTACCAAAACAAGTACTATTTTCCTGCAACATTATCGGTATTGATCTGCTCCTTAATAGGCTCCTCAGCAACGTAGTGTAGATACGCGCCCATTAGCTTAGTGCCCTCGATATAATTGCGTTTGTCAAGTTTCTCATTGGTGGAATGAGCCATATCCGTCGAGCTGCCCATGGGCAACAGGAGAACGTTTTTTCCCGTAGCCTCCTCGAAGGTCAAAGTGATGGGAATACTGTTTTTGTTGTTTCGAAACGTTAGAGAGACTTTTCAGCTTTTCTGCGCTCATTGTTTTGAAAGAGTTGGATAGATATTCTGGAGTAAATTTTGCATACCTTCCACCCTCCCTGGTAAAATCTGGCTCAACACCAAACACCTGCTTTACAGCTTTACCGGCCGCCTGGAAATTCCAGTGCTTAGGACTAGCAACCCACCACTTCCCATCATGCTGCAGCGCGCAGTCGACCGTATTCTTACTGTTCAACTTCGCAAACTCAGCCTTGACATAGTCGAACACCAGTTTATTCACATCCTCGCTCTCCATGTTGGGGACGGTGCGGATGGAGAACTTCCCAATGACTTTAGCGGGGATAACGGTCTTTGCACCGGGTGCTGAATACGCGCCCTCGATGCCGTGGATGGACAGGGATGGGTACCTCCACCGTCTCATCAGGGTTGGCTCTTTATCTGAAAAGATCGACGTGGTGCTTCCGAGCGATTCATAGAGATTTTCCATTGAGAAGGCGATGTCCTTATACAAACCCTTTTCATCCTCAGTGAGTGGAGCAACCAGTTCATTTATACCGGGGATGAGGATGTTGCCCTGCACATCCACCAGCTTTGAGAGGAGATTGACAAGATCGGTCATAGGTTCGTGGACCGATCCGCCAAAGACACCACTGTGCAAATCCTGTGCCGGCCCAGAGACGGTGAGAGAGTAATAATTGCATCCCCGCAGGCCGTAGGTGAGACACGGCTTCTCAGTGCCCAGCCAGTAGTTATCCGAAATGCAAACTGCATCAGCATCTTTGAAAAATTTCTTGCTCTCCGCCTTGACGAACTCTTCCAGTCCCAGCGAACCGTACTCTTCCATGCCCTCAAAGCAGCAGAGCAAGTTGACGGGGAATTCAACGCCAGCCTTTTTATGGGCCTCGATGACGTTTAGCCAGCCCATGATGGGACCCTTGTCATCCGTGCTGCCGCGACCGAACATTCTTCCCTTGTCGTCAACTGTAAGCTTGAAGGGTTCCGTGTTCCAGCCATCCTCAAGCAGGGCGGGCTGGACATCGTAGTGTCCGTAGACGAGGATAGTGCGCTTGTTCTTATCATTGCCGTAACGAGCAAGGACAACAGGAGGAAGATCCAAATGCTCCCTTCCATGCTCCTTTCCAAGTGGTCGTAGTTCGACTTCAGCTCCCAGACGCTTGAGTTCTTCGGCAAGGAACTCTCCCATCTGTGGGTTTATAGTTAAGAGTTGAAACGCACAATCCTGCTTGACGATTGACAAGGTTGGACATATTCAACGTAAGAGATACTACTCACTTTGACAACATCTTTCCTTTTGTCATCCTGGGCGGAGACTGATGGGATAGCAACAGCTTTTCGCAGTCCTACGGATATAACGAGGCAATTAGAAAGTGGCGAGGAAATTATCTAGCATAGCAAGCAAGGTCTAGTGAGGGGGCTCAAAAATTCGACATACGATCAAGGAAAGCGTCCTGGAGGTTGTCAACCCTGCGCAAGGTTTAAAAAGATAAAAATTCAGCATATCAACAGACTTAATAGGGCACAGTAATGACAATACGATTATATATCAGCTATCTTCCTGCTACAAGACTTTCACCTACTCCTTGAAAAACGGTTCTAACTGAGGGGCCATCTTGGGGTCGTCGATGTTTGCGTAAAAGGATCTTCTGTGGATTCTAGTCACGGTCGAAGTAGAGGGTGAAGGAGGCCGGACGGCTCTAGGAATGGAGAGGGGGTAGAAAGATGAAGAGGGGTATGGTGAGGGGTATAAAGAGGAACAGGATAAATATCTTCTTGAGAGGTTTGACGCGGGGAAACTGAACTGGAACTGGACTGCTGCACGGAGTCTTGTTGGCGGGGGAAGCGATGCTGCGATGCGACTGATGGGCAGCGAGGCAGGGGGCATTTGTTGGTTGTGGGGGGGTCGCTCGAGGGGAGGGTGAAGGGCTGGGAAGTACCTCTGGGCAGTGAAATGTATGTGCGGTACCTAAGCAGGTCTTTGCAAGGAAAAATTATGAGATAAAATGCTGGGTAGATGCGGCACGGTTTTGGCGACTAGGGAAACAACAAGGACAGCAGTAAATGAAAACGGGGTTGACGTTGCATCCGACTATATGGATCATTACTATTATTTAGTTAATGCTTGTTTAATGCTTGTTTTGGAGATATTTGGTCTAACCGGAGTGTAAATTTTCTATTTAAAAATGTTTCTATATGTGGATTTTGAAATTCTGGTGTTTGATATAAATAGTTACTTTACAGGGAAATTTGGGAAATCTACCCACAACAGAGGAAAATTGAAAAAGAAAAAAAAAAAAAATACTACAGTAAGTATGTTTACAATAATGATGCCATATCATAGGCTCCTCATCGTCATCGCCCTTAACTGCCCCAGAAAGATGCTGGGATTGGGGCCGGAAACCGGGGATATTCCTCTGCCTCCGCTGGGTTCTATATCATCTATCTCATCTTGAGTCCTAAAGAGGGAGTGTACACATACCATCCCTCCCCCAGTAGTAAATGAATAAAGGAGGCGAATTGGGGGAAATTAACCAGACAAAATGTATCTTTATCATTGATCCCTCGCCCACAGCTCTTTCCGCAGTTGTCTGTCCTCCCTGGCAATGGTCCGCTTCTTGCCCCACCGCGACTTGATAGCTTCCAAAACTTGTTGTTGGATGGCCTTCTTCTGCGGGCCCGCATCACACACTTGCATGACGAAATGGGTACTGCATCCGAATCGCTTGGCCAGCTGGTACCTGCTCCATTTCATGGGGTCCTCCAGTCGCAGCTGGCGCATCTCTGCGATCTCCTCGTGGTTCAGGATGTGTTTGGTCTGGTTTGCATGGCGCAGGACAAGGGGGAGCTGTTGTGAGTCCGGCTGACGCTGCTGTTGGTGTTGCTGGTCTACGAAAGGTGACAAGGCGCGCAGTTTTCGTCGGACGTCGTCGGAGGGGAGAAATTTGGTTGGAGTGTGGTAGACGGAGGGGGCGCTAGAAGGGGGGTTGTAGATGATGTGGTCTGAGGAATTGGGAGGAGACGGGCTGAATGAAGCGTCAGGCTTCACCCGTAGACGTTGTTTGAGTCGACGGAATGTTGATTGGTATCTCTGGCATACTAGGGTTGTGGTGGATGCTTCTGTCCATGATGGAAGTAGGAATGGCAGCGTCAGGGCATGGCGCCGCGAAGGTATGATTGGGCAAGCCATAATGCGATATATGCCAAGGCGCATAGGCGTCTGTTGGTAGGATAGAAAAGGTAGAGGAGAGATATTATGAATTATGCTGGAAGAATGCGATTGAGATCAAGGGGATTGGCTTTCAGTTGAAGAGTCCTCGCGGGACAGGAAATCCTCGAGAGAACAATCAGTAGCAGCGAGACATGGCAGGATCCGCCTCTGAAGGGGAATTGAATGCCGCCAGAAGAAATTAAACGAGTGTAAGAGGCAGAGGCGCGGAGACAACCCATAGAGGAGAATGTAAAAATTGTAAAACGAGAGGTTTGAGTTCTAATACTCGATGTTGGAAGAGCACAAAAAGGAGACCGACGCTAGGCTGTATCGGCAAATAGTCACGTGCATCTACTCGGAGGAATAGCTAGTCCGGTCGTAATATGAGAACAGCGATAACATACGCATCCATTATTGAGGATAGTATATTTATTTATATGCTTTTGGATATATCTGTGAGAGTTCTACATCTATGGCGAATGTTTTAAGTGTTGCAGAAGATATCGCATCAAATGGCAGGACAGAGAAATAACATGGTGTCTTTCTGTCTTCAGAACGAAATTCAAAGGAATGCCATCACAGTATAATACAGCTACCAGCCGTTACCATAACAATACCCTCTCATCCAACTTCATCTTCATCAGCTCTCCAACAGCTTCGTCTTCTCTTCATCTTCGTCTTCATCTTACGTCTAAAAACATCCTCATTCACCCTTCAACATCTTCCAACATTATCTCTTATTCCTCCTTCTCGTTTTTCCCGCTTGATAATTTCTCTTAGCAGTGCCCCCCTCACCCTGAGGCTATCACAAAAACCCCCTCCCATCTCAAACATTGGCTTCATAGATGTGGTCTTCCAATGCCATGCCATGCCATGCCATCCCATGCCATGCCGGTTGAGTTCGACTGACTAGTTAGTTAGTTAGTTACAAGTTACAAGTTACGCTCGATTTATCTTATTGTTTCACCAACCAAATATTACCCAAGCGCATTTTTCCAAGCCAACATCCATTTCTTCCTCCGGTTCAGCCTACGGCGTCCTGCACTACTGCTACATACATACAAAATATATACCCTTCTTCACCAGCATCTGCCTTGAACCAAAGTCACTGTCATCTATTAACTGCCTCTACATTTTCGGCATATCTCCTCTACTCTCGACTTTCTCTACCTAACTGCTGGAAGTTGGCCATCAACGTTGGTTGGGAATTATATTCGTCATATTCAATATCTTCACTATTACTCTCCCGACCCGAGACATTATTTGCCCCCTTATTATTACCCTTTGCGCAGCTCTTAGGCCGTCTCCTATCAGGAGCCATAAACCTCCTTCGTACTTCTTGAATCAATCGCCATCCCATTCCTTCCAAAGTTCCATCTCTATATAGGCTGCCATGGCTGACGTAAATGCCCCAACCGACCGGACCTTGTCAGATTCCTTCAAATCACCCTCTTCCGCCGTTAAAGAAGAGACGTCTGTGTCGTTGTCATCCTTTCTATCGAGCCCAGATCAACAACCCATTCGGAACCCCCTTCCGAGAGAAGCCCAAGGCCCAGCTGCTGACACGACGACGACCAAAAAGGAGAAAGAATGGAGGCTTAAACCAAAGAATCTCGAATCCAATGCAACTTCAGATAAACCCCAAACGCATGGCTCATCCAACATCCCAAATCCAATAACCACCATGAGACCAACTTCTCCTCTAAACGCGTTCCCTTCCAACAGACCATCTGCATCTCCACACCGCTCCAGAATCCTACATATGTCCATCACCATCGCGCATTTGCTCCGCTTCTCCCCGCATGCACTCGCCGGCCTCCTCCCAGATCTTCGACACGGAGTGTACAGGAAGATTTCTGCTCGCCGCCCAACCTCCCCATGAAT